TAGGTAGGCTGCCGCTGTTCCGATGGGTCTTTCTTATCCGGTTAAAGTGGAGACGTTAGAATCGCTGCTTCCTCGCCGGCCGCCATGTTGGATCCCCGATTTTCAAAATATTTTCAATCATGCTTTTTTTTTTTTATCAGAAAACCTTATTTCTAATGGTGCCTGATTAGTCAATATCTTGGTAGAATACTTTCTTATACCAAAACTTTTTACTTAGAAACACATTCAGATGTAATTTCCATTGCTTTTATAAAACCAAATTAGATTGTTTATTGCATGTAACATCTTCCTTACAGGTAGCCTGAAAAACTCCACTAAATAACTTTGTTCTAGTTGTTCAAAGTTATAGAAACTTTTAAATAAATGGAATTTATTGGTCATTAACAAATTTTAGAAGCTTGTACTGATAAAAAATTGATAAACTTAATATCTTAACCAAAAGGTAAATTTACATAAACTGGTTTATGTCAGAATTGCTGCTGGTGACCTTAGCTTGTTTTTGAGTTAGGACCATCATTCATTCTAAGGATTCCTGATTACTGTTCTGTGAAAGAAAATGGTAGAGTCACAGCTCTTATTGATTGGTATGTACTTGGCTGTGAAATACTTGTTATTTTCTTTTTGGAGTCTTAAATAGAATCATAAAAAGTAAAAACCAAGACAGACTATGAAAATCATCTTATCCACCCTCTGTCGTCCCTTCTCATCATTCTGTAGATGAGGACACTGGAGCCCTTCTAGATTAAATAAACTTTCCATATTTTTAATGTTGATTTGAAATATTAGAAAATCAGATGGTGATACATGAATTCTTAAAGTTATATGAATCATCCGAAATTTTCTGTTTCTTTGTTCATTTTAGTTAATTTAATATGAAACACTAAAATTTATATATGGCAGAAAAAACCAGTGAAAAATTATTATTTTGGATGATACTTTCTCTTGCTTTTCTCTTTTGTTGCTGATAATCAATAATTAATATTTTGGACTTACAGAAACTAGACTTTGGGGCAATTATTATTTTCTCTCTAAGCTATGTGTCTTTGAAACTAGGCACCTTCTTTAACATTTGGTGAAGAAACTCTTAGAAAGACTATGACACTGCATAACTTGACCACATGTACCCTCACTTACTTTTTTTCCCTGTTTTCTTGCCATTTCTTTTTTTGCTTCTTTTATATCTGTTTCTTATCCCTACTATAGCCCTTGGTGGATATTGCTTAATCCTCCAAATATTATCTAGTTCACAAGATGTCTAAGGACCTCATATTAAATGAATATCAGCCATACACTCTAACATTGCAATTAAAAATAAAACAACTTTTATCTTAGGTATTAATAATAGCTAATACTTACCTACTACATACTATGTGCCAATTACTCTTCCAAACACTTTGAATAAATTAATTCATTTAATTTTAAGTAACTATTTGGGATAGGTATATTATATTCTCTAAAATTTTCAAAATTTTGATTTTATTTTAAAAGGAATAAATATACCTTTTAACAAAAAAAAAATAGAGATTATTTATCTTCTTTGAATTTTCAGAGAACAAAAAATATTTAATTCATATCTCCAAAGAGTTTATCCAAAATGCATATGAATTATTGATACAGGAAAAAGGCTTCTTTGTGCCTTTCAAAGAATTCAAGTTTTGAAACATCATCAAAAAGACAGTGAATTTGGGCTAGGGTTGTGGCTCAGTGGTAGAGTGCTTGCCTAGCATGGGGCACTGGGTTTGATCCTCAGCACCACATAAAAAAATAAAAATATTGTGTCCACCTAAAACTAAAAAATGAATATTAAAAAAAGACAGTGAATTATATCCTCCACTATTTCCATAAAGAACAATAGCTCGCCATCTGTTGGAGGTATTATGTTTAAAAATTAACCTCTCAGGACTGGCTATTACCAAGATCTTCACTATGGAGCTTCTGTTAAAAAGTTATTCTTAAACAAACCAGTCATTTGATAAAAATCACTGGGGAACTTGAGATCAGAGAAAGCATGTAGTAGTTTTTTCTATATTGGTTCAAGTATTAGTCTCAGGACTTTCAGTCATATTGAAAACCAAACAAACAAAACTTTTTTATGAAATATATCACATAAGTCCTGTATGTACATCATGGGTAATACATATAAAGATGGTGGGAAAGCAGGAGAGCAAGGGAGAAGAAAGAAGGAAAAAAAGTAAAGAGGAAAGAAAGAAAAAAATGATGCGAAATTCCATCAGTTGTTGAAAATCATCATTGACTTAAAAGAGTACATCTTTTAATTATTGTATGTATTTTAAACAAAAATAGAATTCTAACCTACTTTTATTTTTTAAATACACAACATATGTCCTTATAGTACAGATGAATATCTGTACTATATACAGACCTAATCGAACAACTCAAACATTATTGTACATTAGATAGTTTTTAGTCTTTCTTCGTATCCTTTGTATATTCTTAATTAATTTCTTAGGATAAAGTGCTACAGAAAGGAAAGATGAGTAGTCACCAGGTAAATAAAATGTTAAGGCTTTTGATATTATTTGCCAAGTAGTAATCTAAGAAGGTCATGCCATTTATATTCTACCAGCAGTATCCGAAACTACCAGTAGATATTGTTATTTACTATTATTTTAATTTTCATTTATTATCAGTAAGAAGTTTCAAATGTTTTATGAGATGATTATCAATTATATGATTTCTTGGGTAAAATTTCCTCTCTTTCCCTTTACGTTTAAACTAGATTATTATGAAACAGTATTCCCAGTTGAATGAGGTACAACTGATTGCCTGATTCTGCTAACCATAACATGCCTTCTGATTTTAAAGCTTCAGTGTGCATGGAGTCTGAGCCAGAGGTCATTCGATGCTTGAGGTTGGCACTGACTGACGCTGTCAAGGACATTGTCCAAAAGGTGATATCTATGATGAACCATGAGAGAAACTGTGAAACAAACCTAAGCAAGCACAGTGTTCCTGATAGTCTGCTTGAGAGCATTCCAAAAGAATGGAGTTATACTCCAAAGGAAACCAAAAAAAAAGATTCAAGCAAAGGTAAGTATACTTTTTTCCTAGAAAATATCCCCTAAGAAAGCAATATTCCAGGATATTTAGTTAACTAAAAGTCTAAAACTATAAGACTGATAAACCATATTAATCTTTCTTCCTCCAAGTGTATGTGGGAAAACTGGAACAAGGAAACTAGAGATGCAAATGACTCAATTGGTCATCTTTTTTTAACAGTTCAAAATTTTCTGTGATATTTTGCTTTTGTATTAGTATTCACAGATTAGTCACATGTTGTGGACTAAATTTCTCTAAATCTATTGAGTAATCTAGAATTTGTACTTTCAGGAAAACTTCTCTGATATTCAGTTTAATTATTCTTCCTTTTAAATTTTTCCCCTGAAACCACCAATTATTACTTTTTCTTCTTGTTAACACTCCTACATGCATAGCTTTTAGGTAAAAAATAGCATTGAATTTGGTAACTACATGTATTTTTCTGACAGGGCATTTTCCCCCAGTCCTTGTAGTTCTGAATTGAGACTTTGTTTCTGTTCAGAACAATGCATCCACCAACTACATTTAAGAACCATCAGTTTACATTATTTATTTATTTATTTATTTTATTAGCAAAGTTCTCTCTTAAATGTTTTCTTCCTGTCTACATGAAGGAAAATTTACAGAGTTTTCACAAAATTCCCTTGAAAGTATATTAAATATTAGTATTTGTGAATCTTCTTTTGGTTTTCTACAATACTTTTTCCTTTCATATTCATCTCTAAGAGAATATTTTTTTACTATCTCTAAGGAAAATTTCATCAATACTTCAGTGGAACCCACAAAAGTCAATTGAAGGGACTGGTCTTTCTTTGATTCTCCTCCATGAGATCCTAAGTAATGTAGCTCTTATTCAGCGACCTTATATTACAAACTCAATCAATTATCTATCTGTGACCTTTCATAGTAATGCTTTAATTCTGCCCAAGCCCTATTAAACTGCCTTTGAATCTAGTAAAGCCATTTAATTGAAATTGGAAAATGTCACCTTTTCATTACTTAGGTTCTTCCTTGCCTAAGAGTTGTTGCCATCTCTCCTTCATTCTAGCTTTGGATATTTCATACATTTGAATTAAGCAGGGGCATGATCTATAGTTAATGTGCCATGCCATATGAGTGGCACTGTTTTTACTTGTGGCTTTCTGTTTGTGAAATATTTTGGTTTCTAAGAAGCATTTTAGAATATCTGTGTACTGTTTTAAAGAGTTTCTTGTTCCCAAAATGCTTATTTTACATGGATACCAGTTATTAGTGTCTGCCTTACTCAATAACATTTTTCATAAAATTATCACTAGAAGTACAATATATAGGCAGTCACAAAGAGGTGCTGGATCTGATGAATACATAAAAGAAAGTGACTTTATGAACCATATTTTGCATTCTAAGTGGATATGACACTAGGTGAACACCACTGATCTTCATTTCTGTCCTCTGAGTACTTCTTAGAGTAGCCCTGCTCAACCTTTATATTCATTCCTTATCCACACTTTTTTGCTTTATTCCTTTATTTTCATTGCTAATCCACACTTCTGTGGTTGAGAGTAAGCCCAAAATATTATCATTTATTTTAAATTTCACAGGAGAGAATTCACACTCACATAATTTTTATTATAGTATCATTATAATTGTTCTATTTTATTATTAGCTATTATTAATTTCTTACTGTGCCTAATTTATAAATTAAATTTATTATAGTATATATGTATGGCAAAAAACATAGCATATGTGTTTTAGCCATCCACTGGAGGTCTTGGAATGTATCTCCCTTGGATAAGGGTTAGGGGACAACTGTAAAAGAGACTGTTTATATGCTGGACATTAAGTCATCTATTCATTCAATAGGTGACTTATAAATACATATGAGGCTCTGTATTTATAGTCAGAGATAAGCTATATATGTAATATCTTCTCTTCGTCCTTGGAGACTAGTATAACTATTTCAGAACGCATGCAAACACCTCATGGGTGTTCTTTTGTGTATGGGAAGAAAAGATTAAAAGTTTGCTAAAGTCTCACTTGGAGATTGTCACTGGAACCCCTTTTCAGTCTGAGCGAACAACTTGTATGTTAGGGACAATATGTGAGGAGGCTCAAGTTGGCAGGAGCACAATATTAAGGAGAAGTAATAGGCAGGGAAACCTTATTTCTTCTTTAGCCTTCTGTGTACACATCTTGGCTTTGTAGAATCTGGTATTAACAAAACTAATCCTTGCAATACTCAAGAGATCTTTTTTTTTTTTAAAGAGAGAATGAGAGGGCGGGGGGGGGGAGAGAGAGAGAGAGAGAGAGAGAATTTTTAATATTTTAGTTCTCGGCTGACACAACATCTTTGTTGGTATGTGGTGCTGAGGATCAAACCTGGGCCGCACGCATGCCAGGCAAGCGCACTACCGCTTGAGCCACATCCCCAGCCCCAAGAGATCTTACCATATTCCTGAAAATCGACAAATCAGTTATAGCTTAATACTGGGAAGGCAGTGAAGAGCACAAAGTGACAAAGAGAAAAGGCTCACATTTATTTTGATTGCTAATATGAGCTCTCAGTCATATCATAAAGTAAAACAATGAGGATCTAATCAAATTTGGCAAAAAAAGATAAAAAAAATTTAAATAGAAAGAAAGAAACCTGTAGGAAAATGATTTGAAATATGACTTCCCATCCATTATTGTGAAATGTGAATCCTTTTTAAGTGAGTGTTGTGCCTTGAGCTATTAGCTAAAGATAGTTTGAAGTTGTCTTGATTAGCAAAATGATTTCAAAAACAAGCATCTGAAACCTGAAGATAAACCTTTGTAATTTCTTCAACAGTGTTTTAAGTCAAGTTATAATCATGTTCTTCACAAAATTTGTGTAAACAATGATAAATGTCTTAAGACATTTCTTGTGAGAATTCAAACCTATTGAAAGACAAATAGCCACTACCTTAAGGGAACATTTGTCCTTGACATAGTGAAAATGACAGAGCATAGTAAACATTATGATGACAAACTAAAAGACATTCCTTTATTTCTTTGTCAGCAAATATCATTATATAGCAACACTGAAGATTTAAAGAAACAAATGTAAATCATACAGGGGAGCTTTACCATACAGTTGGATGAAGATTCAGATTGTTCTGATGTAGCTCAGCGTTTAAGTCTTTGGTTCCTTGTATTTCAAAAGAATGAATACAAGAAGAACTAGTTTTATTTTTGTTTTGCTTCTTTGACAAAAATTAAAAGAAAGATGTACCTGTAAAGAAATTTTCTCAACAGTAAATTACTTTTTTAAAATTAAAAAAATGCACTATGGTAAAATCATTGGAGCAATTGCTTCAATGGAAATAGTGGATTCTGGAGAGTGGAAGCAGAGGAAGTACCATAAGGGACATGCATCCATGTCACTGACCTTATGCAGTGTTTAGAAGGATATTGGTGACAGAAATATGTAGAATGCTATAGAAAGTCAGCAATTTAGTTTATTTTGTAAAAACTAGAGATCATACTAGTTTTTTGAAAACCAGCATCACTTATAAAAATATCATATCTGTATACTTAAGAACTTAGACATAGAATTTTCTAATGTGTTTAAAAAATACTTTGAATGAAGAGTTTCTATAATCCTTAAACCATTTTCTTAAAAATATACAAATGAGCCAGGCACAGTGGTGCACAACTAGAATGCTAGTGTCTAGGGAGTCTGAGGCAGGAGGATCACAAGTTCAAGGTCCGCCTCAATGACAGGTAGAGCTGTCTCAAAAAGAAAAAGAAACAAAACAAAACTGGGGTTCAGCTCAGTGGTAAAGAACCCCTGAGTTCATTCCCCAATACCAAACACACACACACACACACACACACACGAAATATATTTTCAATTTGTAAGAATAAATAATTAATATTTTAGTTAATGGATACTAATTATTCAGATTTCAACAACAGCTTTGCCTGAATGCTTTTTAAGACTGAAAAAAAAAAAACTTCATGCTTTTGTAAGCACAGCTAATAATATACCTGCTCCATGCTCCATGTGGAGATACATATGTATATGTTGGGAGTAGTGGTTTTTTCAACTATGACAGTCACTAAAACAATGTACAGAAACAAACTGAACTGAGAACCTGACCTTTGTACTAATCCCAGATTTTAAACATAAAATATTAAATCACATTATCATATTAAATCATATTAAATCACATTATCATCATCTAAAATTGTTATTTTGTACAATTAATAGATGATATTTTAATAATTAATTTAAAGACCTTATTTTGTCTTTACTTCATTTGTTGTGAATATCCTCCTCATGTTTTATAATCCACAAATATATTACAGTAGTTCATGTGTAAGAAGGAAGAAATGATAAATTTATAAATGTACTAACCATATTGTGTTCATTACAAGATACACATTTTTTCATACTTTGAGAATTATGAAATTGGCATGGTTTCTAATATTTTACATATAAATGAATTAGGAAGAAGTCAACTTATTTAAATAAAGACATAAAAATGAGTGTGAGACAGTGTTAAAAGATTCCTCCCTGGTATATTGTTAACCTCATCATAGATTCAAAGCCCTTGTGATTAGCAGTATAGATTTATTCATTTATCATCAGCTTGAAGGTTCTGATCAGAATTTGCCTTAAGCTTTAATGATGTGTTTGGGTATTTGAGTACCTGGAGCCCTCAGAGTTTATAAAATAGCAGAAGTCTAGGTGTAAAGAGAGTTGGTAATCTTTACCTGTTATCTACTTAGATATTTAAATGTTTGCTCAGTGCCTGTGCTTACACCCTCTTTAGAAAAGAGGAATATAAGATGCAGTGTTTGAAGTCAAATAACTGACAGTAGAATAGGGAGTATGAAATACAAACACATAAAGAACAATAATAAGACATTTAAAATAACATAACAACACAAAGAAGAGAGGTCACAAGGAAGTTTTTGAATTTGCTTTTATCTATATTTTAAGATCCATTGAAACATTCATTTGCATAAAAAGAATACACTTATTGAGGAACTCTTTTCTACAGGCACTGAAGGAGGTGTTTTCACACTCTTGGGAAGTGCACTGGCAGCTCTGTGGAGGCCTTGGGGAGATTTCTCCTGTGCTCTTCAGCAACTTTTAATACAGATGTAAAGACAACTCACAAAGACCTAAATAACAACATGACATAAGTAATAGAGATAATAATTCAAAAGATGAGGCAGCATGGTGCCTTATTGGAGCTGACTACCAATATCCATATGACTGTCCATATGACATATGGACATATGGATATTATATTCAAATAAATTTATGAAAGAGTATAGGACTTCAAAGAATTGAAGTATACAGGTAGGTGAACCATGAAGAAAGGGGGTATTCCATTGAGAATGATAGGTATTCACAACCCTGAAGCAGAGGTAAAGTGTATTGAAGGTCTCAAAGAGAAAGTTGGTAGAAACAGTATGACACTGGGCTATGAAAGTTGGTAGAAACAGTATGACACTGGGCTATGAAGCATTTTTAAAATCAAGCTTTGGAGTCTTAACTTGCTCACCAGTGGAAAATAGCTAAAACAATTGTAGCAGAGAAATTGGATCATAAAAATTGAATTGTATATGAATCCACTGTAATGCCAGATTCATGGGACCCCAGTAGACCTCCAGGAGCTGAATCCAATGCAATCATACAAGAGTCTTTATTGCAAGCTGGAGCCTGGACTCATAACTGTTTCTGACGCAGCAGTCTCAGGGAGTGAGTCCCTGTCCTCTGTTCAGTGAGGATTTATAGGTTTTGGGGGGATACTTTTATGCGTCACAACATCACACAGCAAATCATTTCACACTGCAGGAAAATCAAACAACAACTCTTAACATTGATTAGCACATTCACTTATGGGAACAAGTTGGGTAGGGGTGATTGGTTAGTACAAGAGGGGGTTTCCTTTGAACTGATTGATTTAAGCCATGAGGGGTGTATGTGCTAAACTACATGGTTTCCCAACATGTTATCAACCACCGTAGACTACTGGGGGTCATCAGTCATCCCAGGTATTTTTCCTGTTTCATGCTGATTGGTCGTTGCTAGGGGGTTGCTATGGGTCCTCACCTAGCCTAACTGAGTCAGGGACACCTGATGCCGCAGATCTCTCCCATTATTTACAGACAACTCAGCAGGGTGGCTATCTGCCAAGGAGTGCTCTGTTGGTTTTTCTAAGGACAAGGGTCATGCCCCCTTTCTTGGACAGGCTTTGCTCTGAGGTAGAGGCTGGTTTTTCAAAAATGGAGTCACATCAGTTTCTCACCACAACTGTGGATGAATTTGGTTTTACAGTGCAGAGGAGGGGCCGGACATAGCCTAGAATATGGAGATAAGTCAGGAGAATATGTCCATTATCCAGGTGCCATTTGTGATGAAGAGCTTGAAGTAGGGCTAGGTTGGTCTCAGCAAAGATAAAGAGGATTTCAGAGACAACAGGGTAGGAAGATTTACCAATGGTGGTCACTGGTTTTGTATGAAGTATCAACAGGACGTCTGGAAGGAAAGAAGAAAGGGAGGAAGGAAGGGAGGGAGAGAAGAGGAGGGCCAAGTAATTTGGAAGGAAGACAATAATGATTATATTGAATTATTGGTGACTCAGAAAGAGAAATGCAATGCCCAAAAAGGAGCTGGAGCTATAGGATTGCAATCAAGAATGGTTCTCAACTCAGGGTGATTTTGCTCCCAGAGGACATTTGGCAGTGCCTGGAGCAGTTTTGGTTGTCACAATTGAGGGGAATGTTACTGGCCTTTAGGGGTAGAAGCCAGTCAGAAATGCTGCTAAACATGCCTCATAGGGCATCTCATCCTAACAAAAACTTATCCAGCCCTGAATGGCAATAGTGCAGACAGAGAAATGTCAATCTAAAGAAATATCAATATATCCTTCAAAGAAGTAGCACCAAGCAAAGGAGATCACATAGAACCACCAGCCAGAGGTTAAGGACTGCTCAGAAAATACCCACATTTAAGAGGTGTTGGTAGAAAATGTAACTAGCATGGGACACAAAGAAGCAAAGAAAAATAGTAGAGGTAAATAAAAACTAGTTTATTGGTTCAATATTCAACCAATATTGAATAACTTAAAAATGAGGTACTATGTGCTAGGTATACAGTAATGACCTCCTGGAGCTTATATTCTAGTGAAGAGTGACAGATAATGAATAGGTAAAGGATATAATTATAACAGGTAATTATAAAAAAGACAACACAACAGGGTCCCATGATAGCAAGGAAGAGTAAGAAGGGACTGCTTTGAATGGGATTTGAAGCAAGTTCATCTGAGAGGGTGACATTTAGGCTAAGAATGAAGAGAAGAGGAGCCAGTCCTGAAAAGAGCAGGGATGATTCAAAGTTCCCCAGGGAGGAGGAGAAATTCTTACAGGAGACTCAGAAGCATCAAAGGCTACTGAGGTCCAGCAGGAATGCATTTGCATTTGTTAATTAAGGGAGGACATCTAGGGTCCTCAAAGCTGCAGCAGTCTTAAAAGATAAAATAGAAGTTATAATTCTGAAATTTCTAATCTTCATTTATGGAAGGAAACAGAAAAGGCAAGTTTGGGATTTGGGGGACTTTAGGTAATGCTGCAGGAGATCCCAGTAGAGTTCTGTCGGAATATGTCAAGCACTTGCTCTTCTCAACAATTTTCTCCATGAAAATTAGACATCCCCACACAACACAAAACCATGCAGTGATGGAACGCAAATGCTAATATTAATCATACCTTTTCTGTCTTTTCTTCCCCAGGCTTCACAAGGCTTGCTGCTCAGGCAGTATCTATTGTAATCAGCAAGTTACCTACAGTGATTGCATGTTTGCCTCCCCCAATTAAATACTTCTTTTTTCTGTCTGAGAGGAAAATGTCAAAAAACTTTGTTGAATTGAAGATAGCTGGCCTGCTTGTCTGGAACTTGATTGTACTTATACGTCGCATATTTAAAGATGGAAACGCAGTAGAACTTTTAACAGGTGCCTCCCTTGACAGATGGAGTAAAGAGAAACTGGGTTTAATTTGTGAGTGTTTGGGTAGCATCATTGGAGAGCAAAGTAGCCCTAATCAAATGACCCAAAAAGTCATACAAAGCATTGAGCAACAAAAGCCCAAATGGATTGAACGCCAGTTGTTGAAAGCAAGGAAATTGAGCACTGAATGGTAAGGCAATGTTTTTCTCTCACTGAATTCATCACATACTTTCACAATAACAAAATTACCAGAACACAACCACAACAAAATCTTATCAGATGGGCAGCATTGGTCATTTGGCTAAATTCATGGGAACTTTGATGAGGATAGGAAAAGATAAGTATCCCACTAAACACTACTGTTAAGGGTTCCTTGTCTTCTTAAAATTTGAATCCCATTGATACACAAGAACACTATACTTGTTGGGTCACCATCTAAAGGTTTCCGATTAAAAGGGTGGAAGTTACACCCAGAAGAATTTAATTTCATTCCTTTTCAGTGTATAAACAGGTATCTGGTGGATAGCCTGAAGTGTTTTGTAAGTGGAGTGGGCACAGAGATTAAATTAAGAAGGAATTAATGGATATGAAAGCCTTTTTATTGCTTTCTGTGTACCTGATTGTCAAAAAGGTACACATTTTTCATCTGGTAATATAAGAATCCCAGAGGGCAAGTAGGGCATATCACACTCAAGCTATAAACACACCCAGCTGTTCCAATATGAAAATGTCAGCCTTCTCATAGGTTTGTCACCAAGAGCTAAGTGATTTGTGGTATTGCAAAGAGTTTTAAGGGTCCCTGATGAATTTAAATATGTACATAGAGCTTTCCTGTTTTAAAATTAGTCTTTTGGTATAGAGTTGCATGATACTGATAAAGGAATTCCGGCTCAGATGGTCTACAGATCACCAAGTTAGCCCCTTTTTTAAACATCCACATACACTTTCCCCATTCTCTTAAAGTATATTCATGTTGCTAGCAGATATTAGAATAACTTTCCGCCTGAAAAGAAAAAAAGCCACTTGAAATATTACTGTTACTAGTAGATGGTAGTGGTAAAGAGCTCAGACTTTAGAATCAGAGGAACAAATACAAATCCCTTGTAAATAGGTCAGCTTGTGCAAGTTACTGAATTTCTCAAAGCCTCGGTTTTAACAATGAACCGAGATGACAGAATTGTTTTGAAAAATTAAATAACATAAAGTTCTTAGCATCAAGTTTAGAATTAGTAAGCACTTATTATTTATAAACTATTAGAATACATTTTGCATTCACTGGTTAGTACTATAACTAATGCTCTTTGCTAGTCTATGTTAATCTTTAAGACTTTATATTAATCCATATGGTGAAAAGTAGGTAATCGTGATTTTCCTGGTCTTGTCATACTGACTTCTAGAAATTTACTTCTGGATGTCCCCTGGGCGGAAGTAACAATAGCAGTCAGGCAAATGCTTAGTCACATTGACAGTGACCTTCTTAATCTTTATATTTGTATTCAATACCAATTCACAGGCTTTAATCCAGTGACTAAAAGATTAAGGCCAGATGTCATTATACAGTGATTATAAAAGTGAGAGAGAAGAGTAAAAATTGTAGATCGGATTTTATTTTAAAAGTTAAATTTATGATACTACTGATTTAGAAGCCACTCTATCAAATAAGATCTATTCATAGCATGTGTAAGTAATATAACTGGACTACATGCAAAAGCTGATTTCAATTAAAGTTTTATAAACAACACCAACACATCTGGTATCCCCTGTAGTATGAGGCTGTCTAGCTAATATTTAGCTGACTAGTTATGAGTCAAAAGATTGCTTAGCAATCTCTTAGAACATTCATCAAAAACAAAGAATTGCTGATTTAAAATATTTTAATCAACAAAGATTGTGAATAATTAGCTAATAATTAGTACAATACTATGTCTCTGTTTCTGAATTATCAATATATAAAAATGCAGACTTAAAGGTACTTATTACATGTATTTTAAAAAGTTAAATTTAATTTAACTCACTTACATTAATCTTGTACAGAGTTTGGGCACTATAAGGATCCTTGACTTAAATTTTAAATTGGTTATCTGAAATACACATGGACTTCTACTCTAAGAATGTCTCATAAATTGATGATTATTAAGTTAATAGATCTATACTATTAAGAAAAATGCATTTCAAATCATGATACTATATAAAGTAAAGGATTGCCATTTTTTAAAAAAAATATGGGTGTATAAACATTTACACCAAAATAGTTCTTCTGTTAAGATAAATCTTAATTCCTCATGAAGATTATCTTGGAACCTACATGATATCATTTAACTAGATTTCTTGCACTTGCATCCAGATTTAACTTTGAATTTTTTATGGAAAAGGTGAGAATAACTGCAGTCAAATAGGTGGCAACTATAAATGTTGCCTGTCCTGCATACTGCCTGAAAGTATTACTATTCATTAAAATAACCTTCACTTTGTAGTAACTCTCAAGCTGTAAACAGTCAACTTATATTCTGGAGAACACACAGCCCCAAAACTAAAGAAATGTCTGTCTTTGCAAAGTAATTTGTCGAGTTGAAGATTATTGTTTTTCATCATGGTGACCCTGACTTGGCTGGCTGGGTGCATATACAGATTAAGATTAATGCAGTTATTCCTTGACTAAGGTCTGCCTCTTTCAGGGCACATTCTCCCTAATGACATGATTGATAGGCAGTCCCAAATCCAGAGAGGAACTCATTAATCATAGCATTGACTGAATCCAATCATTTGCTTCACCTGCACAGTGATGGACAGGAAAGGATACAATTCAGGGGCTGACACTGAGATACTCCTTTGTAAGAGAACCTCAACTTTTTCAATGTCAGCCTCTACAAAACCCAACAAGAAATTTTGCTTGCAACCTGCATGCAGCTTCAAAAAGATACACGCAAACTTCTCATAAAGGCCATTTTAAAAAAAGAGATTTATGCTAGTTGATGACTATTGCTAAGTCAGAGTGGGATTTGCTTTTTGGGGGATTAAGGCTTATAGGATCTTGAAATTCCTTTTTCTTTCTTTCCTCTTTTTGAGAAGGATATTTTGAAGCTACATGTGGAAGCAATATCAGAGTTAATGTCCAGCAGCTGGGTATCATTTGGTTCAGTCTTCAGGTCAACGGCACTGACTCTCAGCAGAACTAATTTTATAATCATGGCAAAATCTCAGTAATGAACTGCAGTACACAGCTGATTACACCACAATAAATTTCATTTAGCCTGGGAAACAGTAGAAACCATGAGTTTTCCTAAGAACACTTAGACTGAAAGCCTAACATGATCCAATAGGAATAGTAATAAAATTAGTGTGAAATATGTAGCATGTGTGATGACTATCATAATTTTTTACATAAGTATACTTTGAGGTGTTTAAAATATTTTGTTATCCGTTATTATGTAAACAATTTTCAAAATGAAGGACAAGCATATATATGTGTGTATATATATGTATATATGTATATATATATATGCATGTGTATATATATATATATATATATATATATGCATTCTCCAAAAAGAAACATTTCAGGACTGTTTTCAACATTCTTAGTGTGATGATTGTAAACCCTTTTTCTGGAGGAATAATCAAAGTAATGACCTTTGCTATGTATCTGTTACAGAAAAGGAGCAGGAGAGGGGGCTTATATTTTTTAAAGGCAACAAGTGTCAAAGGCCAATTTAAAATACCCAGTGGTAAGCACACTGCCACCAAGCATTCAGCCCATATTTAGAATAATAGGCTCCCCCTTTTGACACATTAATTAGTCTCTAATGTATCCTAAGACAGGTGTAAAAGGAATCTACAAAAGACAGAATACCAAAGCTATTCCCAGTATCAAAGATACTTTTTATCCTCCAAGAGAAAATACAAATTATTTCTTACACATTCTTAAAAAGAAATGTTTTGTTTTCATCCTGTGATTATAGCAATTTCAACAATTGCAGTAATGGGAAAATGTTTTATAGATAGGAGTATAAATGCAATAAAGAAATGTTTTAAAAGAAACGATTCAATTTTAAAAAATGCTTTCAGGTGCTTAATTCTGAGGCGCTGTTTCTATGAGCAGCAGCAGTTTGGGAAAGCTTACTATTTGAGCGAAGTCTTTATGGGTGCTTTGAGTATGAGATTTACATCGACTCTCCACACTCAATCTCTCTGATTATTTTCCATCTTTACGATTCTTCGCCGCTGATATGTATGTGCTTCCTTTGTGTTTAGTGCCTTTATGACAATGGAGAAAAGCACAGTCTTAGAAGAAGGAGACACTGCTCTTGAACTGACTGAGCAGAAAATAAACATGATGGTCCTGGATGTCTGCCACAAACCAGGTGGCAGCGAGTACCTGAGGCAAATTTATCACATCATGCGGCTCAATGAGGTAGGGAAACGGCCTTTTTACCGAGCAATTAGGTGTGTACTGGCCTGAGGCAGCGTCTGCTGGCAGCTAAGGGTTAGTCAAGGAGGTGATAATACTTCTTAAAGTCAATACCAAACTCAATATTGCATTATTAATAGAATCTATTCAGCCCCGGCTGTTCTGCATTTGTACAGAAAAAAAGCTTCACTGAAACAATGTAGGTTTTATTTGTATGATTTAAACAATAACATGGCTCATAAACTCAGTTCAGTTCTGAATTGTGGAGACTAGAGGTGTAGTTTGGGAATTGTGTGTTTGTGACCGTTAAGCTGATGCTAAAATCTGGTATTTGTGGAAATGAATTTTCTGAAGAGAGACACTGCTATTTTCCTAAAGACATCATACTTCTGCTGGTGAAGTTAGAGATTCCTTATGTAGTTAAAAACTTCAGAAGAATACTGAACCTTATTTAGGAGCAACCAGATTAACCCAAGGAAATTTATTAATGCACAGACACTGGCTGGAACCAATGCTACGCCTATTCTTTGCTTGGTTTAGCCTCTGACTTTGCGTGTTTTGAGCTGTTTTAACGAAAATCTACATACATAGTTAATCTTAGTTATTTGCTTGAGACAATATAAGTTTGCTAACTCAGCAAGTTTTTATTTTGATCATATGTATCTGAATTAGAAGGTGGTATCATGTTTATGTTTGTAAACATGATTGTATTTTCTGCTATAGTAAAAATTATATAATATGAATGATGTGAATATGTAGCATTTTATCTCAATGATATAGGCTTTAAAAAACATAGATTTCCAAGTGGTGAATTAAATTCTATGATAGCATTTTACAATTTAGTTATGTAAATGTTCTTCCCAACCATTTTCTGACAGTTGCTTGAAGTAAAACTTGTTTACTGGATTTCTTGGAGCTAATCAACTAATCAATAAACAGGTGGCATTACAATGTCTTTAATGATAACCTGATGTGAGAAATTTGTAGCTATGAGAAATGACCCTGTCCTTAAGGCTCCAGAGCTCAGTCTATAGTTGCTACAAAGTAACACAGACTATTCACTCTTGTTAAGGATGCCTGATAGCCTGTGTGGGATTTCTATTTGGGAAGCCCTGGAACTCCCATCCTTGGCTAAATGAATGATCTCCCTTCTAAAGTTATGTTCCTCAATGGCATTTCCACTTGGCCACCTGGATTTAGCCAAAGTAATTGTGGTGACTAATAAGAAGGAGATGTTGAAGTATGATTACTATTAGAGCCTTTGTGTAAATTGATGTCATAGAAGCTCTGGAGGTAGTAATGGCTTATATAGATTGCCAAATTGATAGGAAAGATCAGAAATTACCAACAAACAAAATCATCAAAAACAAGTTGTATATTTATTAGCTGTCATTCATCTGATACATTTCCCTCACAGAGTTTTTGGAACTCTGAGGCAGTGGTTCAGAACAGGTGTGCTATGAAATCTTTACTGGGAGGTCACCAGTTTTTGATCAATTGGGCTCAAACTTATGATTTTCCTTTTTTTACACCTAAATCTATTTACTATTATGGCAATGTCCATCAGATTGTTTGTTGAGCTATCTTTAATTTGCTCTGTTGAGTGAAGCATGCACAGAAAGGTAAGAGGTATGTTAGGTAAGACTAAAAGTATAGCAAGTAGGAGACTAATTAAAAAACACAGACAATAAACTCAAACAATACCAAGGTGGCTGAGTGACTAATGTAGGCTCATGGCTGCTTTTAAATGGGTGGCATTATGTGCTGTAGGTGCAAATGCACTGTGAGGTTTGCTCATTTGATGAGTAGTACTGTGAATCTTTAGCACCTTCATGCGTGTTGCTAAACGTCACTCAAAATGTAATATGGGTTCCATTATGGGTATAGGCCCAGCTAAGGGGAAGAATGCATTTGTAGTTGATAGAGTCTGAGAAGTTGTGAAGGAAAGTGGGTTTAAAGGTTTGTCTTTGAGATAAAAGTAAGATGACTGAGCAAAAAAGTATAATTGTGGTTAAAATTAACCTGGCCATGAACACAGATGAGAAACCCAGATTTGGTCGTGTTCAGTGAGTGTGCTAGTTGGGACCATCAGGCAGGTGGGGACACTTCAGTGGAGAGAAGTAGAGAAAAAAAAATGGATAAAAAAATGAACTTTGGTTTAACTGCACAGAGAAGGTGTTCAAGAAAGAATGGACATATTCTGAACAAATAGGCCTGATTAAACCCTCTATTTAAAAGAATGTCTTAGTAAAATAATCAGTTTTTTTTAAGAAAGGGTATTGATGACTGTCAATATAGTAGTTTAACATGGGAGAAAAATTCCAGTTTGTTCACAACTTGTAACAGAGCACTTTTTTTGAATAATAGAAACAAAAGATAAAAATATGGTTATGTAAGGGCCAATTAATTAAGAAAAAATATTAGCCAAAACAAAGCATATTTTCCCAATGAAGGAAGTGTTTTTATCCTTTTTAAAATTTTGTTTCATAAATCACAAGGGAGAAAAACTTTGTTTCTATTCAGTAATCTATATCTAGGCATAAAATTTCTTTGTGATGGCTTTATCATCATCTAAACATATTTTGTAAGTTCATGTGTGTCACTCTGTCAGACTCTAGAGAATTAATCTTTTTCTTAAACTTACAATGAGCAAGCTTAAGAAATGACTGCTATAGTTAGCTTTTGTAGTAGTTTCTTTAGATGCCACTTAGGTAGTAAAATCTGAAATTTTCCCTCTACCATGGACACAATGGGTGTTTGTAAAGTTGTAGGGACTCAAGAGAAAGCACAGTGAAATAAAGCCAGGTGTGTGGTTTCTTTCTCCAACTCCACCACTGTCCTCTATGTAACCACAGGCTTGTCCCCTGGTCTTTCAGAGGCAACCATTGATTGTGGTCTTGGAGTAGACTTTCTTGAACTTTCACGTGCCTCCCAATCTCTTGGGAATTCCAGAGTTGTCAGGCAGATTTTGATTCAGTGAGGGCTGAAATTCTGCTTTGCTAATACGCTCCTAGTTGAAGCTGATTCTGCTGGTCTATGCACTAGATCTTGAATAGCAATGATTTTTAGATGACTTCTGAGGTCCTTTTCATCTCTAAGACTCTGAACTTTGTTTTAACCTTAACCTTGAATAAAACAAATTATATTGTGGCATATTAAAAATCAGAAGAACATTTATTATTTTAATTTATTAAATGACTTATTAATAGCGAACATTTGTTAGTTCATGGAAGATTTATGATCATTTAAGTTTGTGGTCATCTGAAGGGTCATAATAAACTAGGATTGTTTGTTCACCTTACTTATTTATGGGTGGAAAATGAGGTATAATGCAGTAGATCGTCTCTTTTTTTGCCCAGGACTACACTGGCACTTGGAGGATTAGAATTACATATTCTGAGCTTTTATCACCTTGATTTTTTAGTCCACAGAATAGAAATAGACTTTAGGAGCTTGTATTATAAATAATTCTGCTTAGAATGTGACTTCTTGCAGGAAAATATCAGAATACTTAGCATTCTGCTGAGCCTGGAGTAGGGAGCAAACTATAGTTAATAAAGGAAAGCCTAATCTCGTACTGGGCATAATCACACCTGAGTTACGTTTTAGTAACCAGACATGATAGCACATGAACCAGTGACTAGATAATGCCTGTGAAAGACTCTGACATATAAAGCATTCATTCATTATGTGAGAGTTTGTTAAATGGGCTTTAAATCTATACTGTACAACAGGTAAACCTATTTTTGATTGGTTTATTGCAATGCTGATTGGTACTCATCTATGTATTTTCTGAAAAATGTATTCTTCTCCAGGCAAGGAATCCACTGCAATCTTGCAAATGTGCTGAAAGGGTAAACTTGGATATTGATCAGTTTATTTTTAAAGAGAATATGTGCTTCTCACTATCATGACTTGTAATTTTTTTCTTAAAGGAATATTTAAAAGAACATCTGTTTTCTATGAATGGTTCAGAGGAAAAGCCATTACCCATCCCACCTATAAAGACGACCTTGAGAAGTGTGGAAGCTCAGCCTTCTGTCTTTAACCCTTTCCATGTGCACAAGGTGTTTAGTGAGAATATGCTAGATCAGGTATGCAGAAATTAAATGGTAACTTTAATTCAAATGTGTGGTTTCTCTACATAAGTAAGAAAATGCTTTGGTTTGAATATGTACTCATAAGCTTCTTAATTTTTTTTGGCTAGGAAGCAAAAAATCCCTTATTCCAGTTTATATGGTCTGTTCAAATTGTCTTTTGAAAGTTATTTTACCTTCTATATCAAACTGATTCATATGTTCGGTCTATAAAACTTAACTTTTGATCAGGTCAGTTTGCCCTGGGCAGACCAAACATCTGTTAGGTTGTGTCTACAGAAGGCACAAAGAATCAGGCATTTTGTAATATTCTTCCTCTCCCTTGTCACTTCTTTTCCCCTGAGAGAAAAAAACACCTTATGATCTTTGAGTGTATTAGATTAATTAGAAAATAATTTTAAATGAATTGCAATAGAACATTGAGCTTCTATTTTAAATGACATGGATAAATTTTCTTTTTATAACCCTAAACACATCCCCAAACTTCAAATGAATTTTACTAATGACCTTAAAGCAAGGACATTTGGAATAAAGTCAATGTGATAAACCCCATACATTTTTAAATGTCAGATTATCCATTGTGTAAGCTGCATGTTTCAGTAGTTACATTAAAAAGATCATCTTTCCGCCAAAGTTTTTGAAATCTGAAGTTGCTTTGCTTTGTTCATTCTTCTGGTAGCTTTTCCCAGAAACCTCTTGACAGACAATTTGAACTAATAGGGCAGAAGAGAAGGATGGCTTGACCTAGAGCTCTGAGGAAAATAAGAATTAAAACAATGGCCTAATTCGGCATGCAGATAATATTTTTACCATGCCTCTTACAGTGCTCGTCTACATTCATCAATACTGTAGTAGAATAAGACCTTCAAATGCTGACAACCCGGGGCAGAATTCTCCTGCTCTATGACAGGATTGTAGTGCTTGATTAATCAGCAGGTGACAGGGGATAGCTCTTGTTGGATTTTAAACATCAGCCTGGACTCTTGTTATCCAAACTATTTAGTTTTAAGGAGCATAAGCATCTATAATACTTTAAAACAAAATGTATTATGTAAGTTTGAGTTTATTGGATGTTTTCCTGTATTGTACATTAGATTGCTTCAAACCATAAATGATTATTATAGCTGTTAAATTATCCTTACTTCATTTAAATAAATGGCATGTTGTATTGAGTTCTGAATTATGAGATTATTTTTCACAGTATTTTTTCCTCTTTACTCTGTTGTGAAATTATCTATTAATGAGAAAAGGGAATCATTTATGTTATTTATACTTGCAGGTCCTTGTAGTCTCCCTTTAAGGCATTTTCTTGACCAAAAAGATGACATTAATATCATACTCTAATTATGGTGGGTCTTATAATTTGAGTCTTAGCACTACTAAGTTTGTTTTTTTAATCAAACTTTGGGGTGCTAAAAAAATATAAAGTGATTCATGCAAAAGTTGCCTGTAGAGTGATCTATACAAAAGTTGCCAATTATTTTGCTTTGTTTTTCAAAAAGTCACCCTCCCAGAGAAACTTGTTGGGCAAATGCCATTATCACTTGGAAGAATAACGACTCAAGAAATTGATTTATATTTTTATAAGTAATGACTACATCCCCAAATGGATTTATAAATTAATTGCTGTCTTTTTGGAATAAAAACCTTCTTCTGTGGACATGATTGATGTTATCTGTCTAAGTCCTTGTTCTGGACCCCCCTCCTTCTTAGTTAGTCTATCACAGCTGGAGCTTTAATTTACTGATCATATTAACTCTGATTAATAACTAACAATAGTGTCTTCTCATTTATCAACAGTCAGTCATCACAAAGTGGAACTGGAACTGGTCAAACTTGCTGCCAAATTATCTGGGACTGGATAAGATGACCTTCAGTGTGCTGCTCAAAAACAGGTAATAAGATTGGGGATCTTGGGGATCTGGGGGTGGGGGAAGATCCTGTCAGTGCACATGCACACACAGATGTGTGGGTATCATTTTGGGGAAAAAGCAAAAACATTTTGTCAACAGAGAAATCTCTTTTATTTTCTCTTTCTCCAGTCTCTCATCTTGAAATAATCTGGCTGAAATTATATAAGCCTACTTCCTAAATTCTGTTTTCTGTAATGAACATTTGCAAAATTTTTTTCCAAAATGAAATTATTTGATTTCAGTGTCAGTTTTAAACTTTGTATATTTAATAGTTCACTTTTGTAAACACCAAAAATTATTGACTTGGATGACATTATCATACTATACCTTTGTTTACAACAATTTAATGAATGCATTCAAAATGCCAGACCAAATCAACTAGTCTAATCAGGGGAAACATATAAGTAAAACTGTCATGATTGAATTTTTTACTTTTTAGCCAGTTATTTTGGCACTGTCTTGTTATAGCCTCATTTGCATATTATTTTATACACGCACACACACACATACACCATTATAATACAATAAAATAATAATGTGATTTCAGCCTAAAAAGTTAAACTTGTTATTTATTTTGTACACTATATACACATTTTCTTTTGGATTAATTTACATGGATTTTACAAATATATCTTGGTAGTTTTCAGAGAATTCCTATAAACTTTTAAAATTAAATTTCTCTATCAATTTTCACATTTCAAATTATATATATATATATATATATATATATATCCTATATTAGTTACAGTTATTCTACCTATAATATTTTTATATGATCTTTGTAATGTATTTCCAATTTTTTTTCCTTGAAAGAAAATAATGACAGTGACATAGTAGAATTGCCAAATTACCCCTGAGAAATCTGGATGCTTATAAGAAAATGTCCTCTAAGAGAAAGATTGTAGTATTTCCCAGATGAAGGGTTAAAAAGGGAATTAGCTTTATCGCTAATAAAAACTGTAGGTTAGCTGTGTGGTCATATGGTATTCCTAATATTTCACCTTGAAGATCACACAACCATCATGGACAAAGCAAAACAATCCTGAAACTTCCCCATTAAGGACATAGCCTTTCCTATAGCAATCTTATCACCTGGCAGGCAGTGATCCAGCGTCGACCCTGTTTGTGCATAGTGCACCCCAGACATGCTTCTATCTTTCCCAAAGTTGTCTGAAAAGGTGAGAGGAAGTGTTGATAGTTACATGATGTGTTTCCTATAGTTAGTTGCATGATGTGTGCACAGCATTAAATGTCTATCTGGAAACTTGGAAGGATTTCCAAGTTTTGTTCTTTGGAAATTTTTGAGTTCATGTAGACTAAGTGTATAATATTTTACAAACTTTTCCTCAGTTGGGAGTTGCTGAATCTAATTCAATAAATGGTACTCTAGGGATGACATGCCCTTCAAAATTTACTGCATTTGTGTTGTGTAATAGTTGCTTCTAAGAGAATTTGTGCTTTAACCATAATTACATATTGTTATTTTTGTTTAATAATTTTAGATATACTTCAATTAAGTCACTAGCTATTAAAGTCTATTTCCCTGAGATGTGTGTATGAGTGAGAGAAAGGAACTTCTATAAATTTAGCTAGAAATAACAGGTCAAAACAGTTCTCCTGGAAAAAAGGTCATGAATTTCTTATAGAAACAGCTAGAATCTCATCTTAATAAGAACCTTAGATTTTTAAAGAATGGCATGAAATGCATCCTACTGCAAAGTACCACACACCACAAGCTCCAATGAACCTAACTGATCTACTTTAAAAGATGAAATACACCAGAAAGTTTATAATCTCTTCTATCACTTACCCATTTAAGAAAGCTATTTGAGTTTTGATTAATGTTGAATGACCAACAAAATTGTTTTTGTTATTTTCTGTAAGATACCCTCATTAGGACCTATCTGAGAATGCTGACTTTTTAAAAAATGGTGCATTGAATTTTCTGACAACATGGATATCTGAAAGATACACTCTTGATAATGAGACCACAAAACACTGAGCTTTTAGAATGAGGGTTATATGTGCCATCCAACCTCTACAGAGGTATACTTTTGCCTACTACCATGGTCTTTGGGGTTAGATAAAGCTGAAGAAGAGAATGAAAGAGCAGTTCAGCTGAATATGTTTGGTTCTTTCTTCCAAATTCTCTTCCAAATCATGTGTTCCCTTTTGCTCCCTTTATTGGTAATATATTTGTACTAATTACCTCTGTATTAAGACCTACATGTACGAATGAGGCTGTGAATGTTGTCTGAGGACATGTTACAAAGGAAAGTGAACTCAAATATGCAAGTATGAAAAAAGTCCAGGAGAAGGGAATCCTTTCTATTTACCTCTTAAATTTCTGGCACCCGCTCTTCAGCTTTCCTATAGGCAACAAAACATCTGTGGACTTATCTTTTACAGTGAACAAGACCTCCCTCATCCCCCAAACAAGACACAGATGGGAAAGCAGGATCTCTAGTTTTCTGAAGTTTAGCTCTAACTTTGATTTTCTTAACTTTAAAAGGAAATAATGATAGTTGAGCACGGTGGCACACTCTCAGGAGGCTGAGACAGGAGGATCGCAAGTTCAAAGCTAGCCACAGCAAAAAGTGAGGCACTAAAGCAATTCATTGAGACCTTGCCTCTAAATAAATACAAAATAGTGTTGGGAATGTGGCTCAGTGGTCAAGTGCCCCTGAGTTCAATTCCTGGTATTTGCTTCCCCACCACCACCAAAAAAAAAAAAAAGGAAATAATGATAATTGTTTAGCTACCTTGTGGATATTGTTGTCACAATCAAAAGTTAAAGTATACAGAAATATTTTTGAAAATTGAAAATGTGATACATATTCAGAAAAATAGTAACAGCAGCAGTTTAGTTCTGGTTATGTAAGGAAATAATAAGTTCCATTTTGGCTTAGTTGCAAGATTAAACTTCCAGACCAAGTTTATATAGACTCTATGCCTTAACCAATAGGGAAGATCAGGACACATATCAGATTGGACCAGGCAGTGGGCCCCTAGGTCTGGAAGACCAACAGTGAGAAAATGAGCAAGTAAGAGAGGCAAAAGACCAAGTAAACCACTGAGGAGATAGAGATATAAGAGATGAATACTTGAGGGACAGTTTAGACACATAAAACAGAGAATCTGCAGTGTGCCAGCCATATCTGTTACCTGAGGCCATATTGGTATCAGTTCCACACACTGCATCTGTGCTGCCTCCAAAGGCAGAACAAATCTTGAAGTGGATGCCTGAGTCCTTGGCAGGGATGTACCTTCTGCTCACTATCAGATCTCATCTCAAATACCTCCCTCTAATTCATGATGCTCATATTGCCTTCTTTATGTTCTTTGGATTCTTTAAGTCCTTTCCCACTGTAAAGTCTTTGGTACTTGCAACTCCCTTCGCTCTTCACATGGCCAGCACCATTTTGCCCATCTGGAGTAAATATTGCCTTCTGAGAGTGATTGTTCCCTATCACCCATCTAAAGCAGCCCTCCTGGTCACACTAGTATTACCCTAAATTATGTTTCCTTAACTGAGTTATCACTATCTGAAATCTTAATTTCTGTTTGTTTAACCTTACCCTTAGCAATAAGATACAATCTTTTTGAGATTAGCACCTTGCCTACCTATTTCAATTGTGCCTCCAATACCTAGAACAGCCCTGAACACCTAGTAGGCTCTAAGCAATATTTGTTAACTAATGAATAAATGTGGAATAAAAATGCAGAGAAAAAACTGGCTCCTGTCAGACAAACATAAAGTAGGTATCCTCAAAAATGTGATATTTGGTTAATAGTCATTTAAGTACAAGAAATATACTCTGGTAAATTACAAGTAAAAAATTATCTAACTGCATATTTATTCTCTGCATTTTCAAAATTTGGATAAATAAGATTAGTTAAACTCTTATGTTTCAAATGTCTATTATTGTTGTTGTTGTTGTTGTTGTTATTTGAAATTTGGCTCCGATTAAAGCAGGAACGTGTTACTTATTTTTAATTAACTGATCCAGTTCAAGCCATAATCTTGTCAGCAACAAAATCTGTTTTTTACTCCATGATTCTTAAGTCTTTTGACATTTGGGAGATTGAGTTTGGATTTCTTAAGTGATACTAAAAATGGAAAGTGAAAAATATAAGGTACAGTTAAATGACCATAGCATTCAATCAAGACTTTGTAAATTGAGTGATTTGGGGGGCATTTGAAGAAATGTACAGTAGTTGAGACCTCAGAAAGGAGATCCTGAATATGTATTAATGAAATATATGTTTCAACTTAGAAAATTTGCCACCATAGAAAACAGAGACTCCTTAGAGTTTCAGAAAATCAACATATATATCAGTTCTACAGTTTTACCTTTAATGCCATATAAGAATAAGTATAGTGATTGTACATTGATCTTTTGAAATAATAAAGGTGCTTTTCACAGTTCCTTACTATTTGTTTCTTGCTTTCATTCTTACCCACTTTAAAATAAATCCAGACTAGCAAATGAGATGGTGATTGCATTTCAGGAGAGTGCACCAAAAGGAACACTCTATTCCTTCACTCATGGCGGATCTCCAGATTGCCATTTTGATATTGTTTTCTTTGTCACTGGAACCAATTTATGTTGCTCCTTTTCTCTTTACCTTATTTATCCCAGACTAATTCCCAAGAATTGTGTTGTTGAAAATAATCTGTGAATACAGTAGAGTGCTATGCTATTTTAACCATCTAAATATACTGCATATGAGTTTGGCTTCGAGTTGAGCAAACACAATTAAATATGATGGCAGGAACAGCAGAAGGGGTGGTGGTGGCAGATTTCTGGCTATCAGTATGGGGCCTTTCCAGGTGGACAATAACCATGCATCTGAGAGGAAACAGAGATTAGAAAACATGTTGGAAAAGAGCTGTTGATCTATAGAGTTGATTGTTTGCTTTTAATAATAATAATTATTAAAGTACCTTTATCCTATATCAGATTACAGTGCGTGCCCTG